TTACTGACTGTCAGCGTGCGCAGTACTAATAAACGGGAGGGAATGTAAATGCTCCGTACTTGTATAGCGCCTTTCTAGTCTTTTCGACCACTCAAAGCGCTTTTACACTACATCTGCATTCACCAGTCACACACATTCATACACTGACCCTAAGTGCTCAAACGGAAACTAACATTCACACTCACTCATACACTGGCGGAATAGCCGCCAGGGGCAATTTGGGGTTCAGTATCTTGCCCAAGGACACTTCGACACGCAACCAGGGGGCCAGGGATTGAACCGCCGACCTTCCGATTAACGGCCAAAATTGAAATTGTGGTTTGTTCATAACAACCGCCATATTATGGTCAACTCCAAGAGCATAGCATATATAAAGAAAACTGGATTGAAAGGAGTATAATGTATTTGGAGTTCAGACTAATCATCACCAAAAAATCTGTGCAATAAAAACCGATCCAAAAGGTACAACAAACCTTTACTGAGAGGAAAATCTTTTTGGGAGTCCATCACTGATGCAATTAGTGGTTATCTCCTATTTTATTATTTCAATGACAGAAGAGAATCTATTTAATATATTTTAGAGTTGTGTGTATTGCCATCTGGAGCTGCTGTGCTGGCCCTAGGGATGTGCGGATCAATACTAAAGTATCAATGTTTCCTGCTCTAGGATCGTAACTCATATAGAAGGATTGATATCTAAACTCAGTAATGTGGAGTGCATTTGTGTTTTATAATAAGAATCTTACTGTCACCAGGATGGTCTAATTAGCTTCTTTGAAGTGAGCAGCTTTGATGTTTGTGCAAAGACTGAAATACTTTGGCAACACCGCAAACTTCTTAGATTTAGTCAAAATAATATGATGACGTTATGAAGCAGCAGTTCTGAGCAGGATATGTCATTATGCAGTTATTAGTTGGAATCTGTAAGCTACAGCCTACTTTTTATTTCCCTCATAAATACCAAAACGAGAGGGGGTGGTCACATTAAACTAGAAATAAAATATGTAAAAAGTATTGGTATTGGTATCAGCAACACCAGCCTGGGTATTACTTGGTATCATATAGGAATTAAATGGTATCGCACATCACTAGCTGGCTCTTGTCAACTGCATATTAGCTTCATGTTAGCTTAGCAGCAGCAACTGTAGCAACAGTTTGCTAACCCATAACTTAGCTAACGTTAGCTACATTACTTGCTGTGGGGTTGTTCGCTCTGTTGTGGTGTTGGATTAATATAAATGGCTATTGATATTAGGGGATTATTTAAACGTATAACGTTAAATAAATTCCTTAAAGGGCATTTGAAACTTTTCAGCGGCGACTAGTGTGGTTTTAAGAACCAGATATGTGCTTCATAAGCGTGCTCGCTTTAACTCATAAGCAAGCATAATCCAAAACACAACCGTTTTCATAGAGAAATCCTGCAATAAACACAGAATGCATGCAGACTGTGGCTTTTCTCTAGACATGTTCAGGTACTGTTTGTTCAATGTTCACTGCTCAGAGGTAGCTGAATATCTTTCATTCAGCACAGCGAGCAGCATATTGGCACAATACTACTAATCCACGCTCGATACCTATGCTCATTACATGATAATTACATCATGTACTTCGGTACATTTACTTCATTTAGCCGACATGCTACATTGTTAGCTCGCCTGCAGCTTTTCAGTAACTGTATTTACTATCTGTGCATCTTTTACCGGAGGCTCAGCAAGGTGAGCACAGCTAACAAACATGTATTGGATGATAATACGGTTCGTGAGCTAGACTGAATATTATAACGGGATTGTGTTACACTTTATAACAGTTAGACCACAGTAAGTAACTTCCGTTAGTGGATGGTTCTTCCTCTGTGTTGTCGCCGTTTTGCTGCAGTATTGTATATTATGTGGGTCATGTTAGTTACAGCGACGGAGAGGTGGAGAAGCCACGTACCGGAGCATCAGTAAAACCACAATAAATCTAAATGGAACATAACGAACGAAAACAAATCGCTCCACATTTGCTTTTTACCGTTACATCCTTTCTTGCAAGCTAACTCAACACTTTGACATAATACCGGTGGTACACAGGATAGTAACATGGGTCATGTTAGTTGGTGATGTAATGTGGAAATCGATACAACTTTACACCGGATAACGTTAGCAACTGCTCGGTGTTAGCTGTCGAGCTAACGTGACTCTCTCCATCACTCCAGCTTTTCTAATGTTCACTGTGAAATTACTCGACATCATCTGAATCTGTTTGGTCTGATGGGCTTTCACATAACACATAAACCTTTATTGTTGTTGTGGGGTGGTGATGATGCAGTTGATAAAACACATGCCTGTGGTGCGGGTGACCAGGGTTCAATTTCCACAGTGACACATCCACCAATGTGTCCCTCAGCATGACACTTAGTTGCTCCAGAGGTGTGCGGCCTCTGACAATTGTAAAGCACTTTGGATAAAAGCGTCAGCTAAATGACTAATATTTATTTATATGTATCCTTACGTGGAGTCTGTGTTTTGCTGTGAGCCGGTTGTTGTATGGTGTTAGTGGACTCCATGTCGTTAGCTGTGGTGTTGTCGCTGTAGTCTGACAGAACCTCTGGAGCGCTCACAGAGCTGAATCCAACCCGGAGACCTCACATTAAAAGCAGAATAGTGGCTGGTGCAAGCAACAGAGCAAACAGGCGTGTGCTTCATTTCTAAGTGAGATTTGAGCCCATTGACAATAAGGCAACGAAAATCTGATTTATTAATAAGTCATTTCATTGAAAAAATACATATAGCCCTTTTAAGAATATCCAAGAGTTGTTTGGCAAGCACCCCTGATTATTTATATTTTACATATTGTTTATTTTTACATTTTATATGTTCAATTATTGTTATATATTAGTTTTTATTTTTTGCACTTGTGCACACAATGATGCACCACATGCTGTATCTAGCTGCCTTATGTTGTCTGTAGTGTAATTTTAAAAGGCACTGCAGTGCCATCTAATGGTTGGATGAAAACACTGTAGAAAATAAACAAACCATACACTTTAATTGTGAAATTACAGACATCTTTGCTGTCCTCAGAAAAGTCCAAATGGAGCATTTCATTTGGATTTCATAGATGACTTAGAGCAAACATGTTACAAAATGATATTGTCTGAGGCTTTCTGTTTCCCTTTCTAATTTTATTTTATTCTGAATTCCTTTCTTGTAGATCTTAAAAGAATGTCAAAGTAAAGGTAGATACAAAAGTGTTATTCACAAAAACATAACTTTATCTTAAGTTAAATTTAACACATAGTATGGAAGAGAGGAAGACAAATTGGTTTCATCTAGGCACCTCCAGTTCTCGTGGGAAGAGAGACAGGGGTGAAAACTTATTTGTCCTGGCTCTTTTAATGGCTCTTCTATAAATGTAGCCGTTGTAGCGTTTCCCAAAGCGAAGGCCGAACGGGTTGAAGTTGAATTTGCTCCTGCGGTCATTGCATAGAAGCTGCCGCTGGTCTTCATTCTCTCTCAGGGAGAAGCACAGGTTTGGATCCTCAGTCAAAAACTCTTCTGCAGTTCTTCTCCTGAGTGTGGAGAGGACTGATCCTGAGGAAAACAGCAGAAAATATTATAAAATAAAAATCATCAGTTTTAGATTTTAGTTGCACTTCTTTGTTATAAGGAATCTCATTAAGGTTGCTCACCTGTTGCATGTGTCCTCTGTGCAGTGTCAAATTCCGGTAAAGCTGCTTCTACACTCCCTCCGTGACCAACAATCAGCCCGCACACCACAACTAGAGTGGTGAGTCTCATGTTTGGACAGACGAAACAAATCCTCTTTCTGTGTCCAAACAGTGCAGATTAAAGTGTTGATGTTCCCCTACTCAGCAGGTACTAACATGCTCACTCCTAACAGACCGATTTTATATTTCCAGACCTCATGCTCCTGCAGCTCACAGCCAATCACAGCCCTCTGCGTCTCTGTGCAGTGCATTATAGAACATAGGCTACGTGGCTGTAGCTGCTGAAATGCATCATTCATCAGCTCTTCTGAGAAATGTTGACAGCTCAGTTTGTTGCTGTGATCATTCATCCACTATAAGATAATATGTTACTGCATGCTGAAAAATTGTGAAGTCATGAATATTTTTTAAATAAAGTAACAGAGAGACAGAAAAGGGGCAAAAACACCAGGACGCGTAATGGCACAGTCCAGGTTCCAGTTTGGCTGCAGTAATGCAAAGAGCACCAGCAGATGGGTGGACTGAGTTGTTATTAGAAAACAGTTTTGTCA